ACTCTGAGTTGTCTTAGAAATTATTCTGAAATTCTTTTAACAAATGCATTTTGTAGAGCAAACATTTTTCTACAAAATTAGATGTTTTACAGCTCTGAGAGAATCGTGCTAACTGATTTGTAGCAATTCTTCCGGATGCTCCAACATCAGTTAAAAACTGGTGCATACCTGCAAGTGAGATGTTACATTTTTGTATCGTATATACTGAGTAAAAATGTACTCATGAAGATATTCCCTAGCTTCTTCTAAGACTATATTTATTTCACGAACATTTATCTATATCCTAAAACATCACAAAGCATACGCTGAAATAACCTCTTCTATCAAAAAAGGATTTGCAATGTTTTCGTATAACATTTTGTTCATGTTGTTATGCAATTTTTAGCAAAATATGTGTTGATTTCTTGAAGTAATTGGCTAAGATATATAAACTTGAAACTTGTATTGTGTTTTAGTCGAGCTGTTAATATTTTCACTATGGCTAATTCAAAGCATACAACTCCACGTGAACTGTCTACCTATACACGACATAGTGATCGTTCAAAAACTAATGAACACAAAACGAGACAACAAGATTCGGAGTTAAAAGAACATCAAGACAAAGAGAAAGAGAAAGATGATGATCAACATCAATTTGATATAGAAAATTTTCAAATGAAACGATTTATTTCACCTAGTGAAGATATGGTGTATCTTAATGTTGGCGGCGAACAATTTGTCACATTAAAATCAACGCTAACCTATATTCCAAATACTGTACTGACTCTTCTCTGTTCGCCACAATGGGAAGAAAAAATACCAAAAGATAAACATGGCCATATCTTTCTTGATTGTGATCCAATATCGTTCAAACATTTACTATCGCAATTGAGAGAATGGTCATGTAGTCATAAATCAAAGAATCATAAAAAAGTGTTCGATTCACCACTCAATGATCCAAAAGGTTTTCGAAATTTATGTCGACAACTAGGATTTGATCAGAAATACGTTGATGGCATCTATAGACAAGACCGTTTCAATAAAGTATGTGGAAATGCTATTTTAGAAGATAATGGACTGATTGCTACTCAAATAATTAATTATCATCATTATTGTGAGATACGTGGCACGAACGTCTACTCAACTGGTATTCATCGTTTACAACTGAAAATTGAACGGCGACGACGAAGTCGAGCTCTAAATAATGGAAATGATTGGATATTTATCGGTATCATATGGTCATCAACGCCGATGCAAGAACGTTCATTTGATTCTCCAACAGCTTACGGTTGGGCAGGACAAAAACAAGTTTATCTAAAAGGAAATGTTGCAAATATAGAAGGATACGGTGGATGGGATAGTGATCTATGTGAAAATGATACTGTTGAACTCATTATGAATTGTAATGAGAAAAAGATACAATTGTTTAATCAACGTACAAACAAACTCTACGAAATACTTATAGATATAGTCACTGGCTGTCCCTTTCCATGGCAATTACACGTTAATCTTTATTATCCAGATGATCTTTTACGAATTTTAACATGATTAGTCTATTAAATCATTATTATTTATTTACGAAATTTAGAGGTCTTTACAGAATAGTATATATAACGGTAATAACTCAAACAAGAATCTGTTGTCTAAATCATGTTGATCACTCAAGTCTATATTTGGTATTTCCGATTATCACTTTCACAAAGTGCTACTAGTCGTAAATGGAGTATGAAATTGATTAAGTGACTAACCATTCTCCTATTTCTCTAAACAATTAAAATATGTGTTTTCCTCTAAATTTTAAACTGCAAGATTGGTATAGTATTTGCACAGAAATCTGATCTTAATTTCGATGTTTATTTTGACAAAAGCACGACAAATTACAAACATAAACTCTGCCATCAAGAAGGAAAGAAGAAAAACCACATACATATCTTTCTTCAAGACTTTAGGAACATTTTCTATACTTACACGAAAAGGTGCCTAGCTGATACCCTCCGGTTTCGATGATCTTTTGCCGATAGATACCATATGATGTCCTAGTCTTAACCTCTAAAGGATTTGATTGTATAGCTCTTCTTTCAAAAGTTATGAACTTTTTAAGACTGGCCACTGGATATCCTAATTCATCATTGTTATTGTGGCTTTTCAAAACTTGTCCACATGTGTGCTGACCAGTTCAAATCTTTTTAAACACTTATTCATATAGAGAAAAATGTTCTCTTCAAAATGAGACATTGCTGAGCTCTATGCGATATCCGCATCTAAAGTCATAAGCATTTTTCTAAGAACACCTAAAACTCTGCTTCTCTCCTTTTCTTTCATTCCTCTACATCGATTTTTGCCTTGTAGTATTGTGTAATTCTAAGATTTCTCTGCTATTTTAAGCGCTACAAATCTCAGGTTGGTCTTGAAATGTAGCCAACACTTTTTTCTAGGCCATACAGAACCCGAGTTTCGATCTTCATTTTTGTCTCTGAGGAAAATAAAAGTTTTTCGAAAAGTTAATGAGGTTTTTCTTCATTTCTCTGAAACTTTTTATTTTCCTCAGAGACAAAAATGAAGATCGAAACTCGGGTAAAGAGAAATGAAGATCGAAACCTGTAGAAGAACATTTCAGAAAACTCAGAGCAAAAATACATCGACTTTTTGTTTTTTTGTAATTTTGTTTCCCTTGTAATTTCCGAATGGCAAGATGCCCAGACCTCTGAGCTGAGACATTCCAAATTAAAGAGAAAAGTGTGCTGCACACTTTTCTCAACAACAACAATGCAAAAAATCCGCACTGAATTACACTTCGGCAGCAGAGTTAACTGATCAAGCCGATCATGTACTTCAAATCAAGCTTACGATGACGCACTTTACAAATCCAAGCTCTGCTTCAACGGTGTTAAGTAGTCGCCGAAGTATTACAGTTATTATTTTAAAACAGCCTTCTAGTTAATCATTGGAAAAATACACTTTTTATTAACAAACTGTGATCAGCACCCTAAAGATTCATTGAAATTGAAATTGATATTTGAACAAAGTTTATCTAAATCCACATAAGTTTCTAAAAGTTCAGGATTTTACGGAGACTTTTATGAAATCTTTGCGAACTGTCTCCTGTTCAGTCTCTTGTACGCTAGACTAACTTTTTTAATATTATACAAAAGCCTTCGTTGTAATGAATAACTTCATATATGGTGTACTGAAAAAGGTCAAACAAATATATTTGGACAAAAAAATTGTGACTGACGGTGCGAAACAGTTTCCCGATACCTTTTTTTCTAAGATTTTTGTGACCTTCGAGAAACATTTCCAAACAAATACTTTTATACATTTTTTTTGTTAACGGTTGCACACCAAAGCGTTAGCGGTTCCTATTTTTTCGTTAACAAAAATTTTTTTTCACTGTTTTGTTAACGGTTACAGAAATGTGAAGGGTATTTTTAGTAAAAGGAAAATAAGTCTAGAAATATACTGAAATGTTAACGGTCTGTTCACATCACGTCGTACCGCACATGAAAAATTGTAATGGTTATTGTACAGACGCACATGTAGTTCTTCTGCATTTTACATCAGTTTTATTTCACTCGGTGGAATATCGTAGGAATGTTATCCTTTTCCTGTTAGAAAGAGCGAAGTGTCTAGTAGAGAAATATATAAAAGTATTTGATCGAAAATGTTTCTCGAAGGCCACAAAAATCTTATGAGGGACGTCCACTAACTACTCAATCGCTTTTGAGACGAAACCTAGTGGATGATAGGTAATCGACCATGCTGATTTCGAATATTGACGTGAGACTGGCAGTTTGGCCTCCAGAAATCCGTTTTCTGGAAAACCAGTTTTGAAGAAACTCTAAAATATAACCAAAATCTTTCTTAATAAGGCATGATTGTAGCCCGCACATTTCTGATGAAAATGAGACATCTTTCAGCTCTGCATGCTCTTTCTTTGCAAAGTTATAGAATTTACAAGAAAAGCCCCTAAGTGTTCATTATCAGCTCAAAGCTACAAAAAGAAAAAGGAATTTATGGCTTTTCTTGTAAACTCTGTAACTTTGCAAAGAAAAGTCATGCAGAGTTGGGAGATATCTCACTTTAATCAGAAATGTACGGGCTACGATCATGTCTCATTAAGAAAGATTTGGGTTATTTTTTAGAATTTCTGCAAAACTGGTTTTCCAGAAAACGAATCTCTGGAGGCCAAACTGCCAGTCTCATATCGATATTCGGAATCAGCATGATCGATTATCTATCATCCACTAAGTTTCATCTCAAAAGCGATTCCGCAACCTTTTTTTCGAATTTAGAAAAAAACTTCACCTAATCAGAAAAGATTAATCTTTTTATTCGTTTATTCCGAGTTTTATAATATAAGGATAGGGCACTATTGCCGCACAAAAAAGGAAATTTTCTACCTGTTTTATAACGGTCGAAATAAACACATTACCGTTAACATATCAGTATATTTCTAGATTTATTTTCCTTTTACTAAAAATCCGTTCACATTTTCGTAACCGTTAACAAAACAGTGAAAACATTTTTTTTGTTAACGGAAAAATGCGAGCCGTTAGCCCTTAGGATAAAAACCGTGCATAAATGAATATTTATTTATCAACTCTCTTTTATCTCTTTTTGGCAATCATTTATATCTGAAATGTTTAGTGATCAAGCAAAAATTCATAGCATAGTCATCTTGTTGTTTGAAACAATTATCTCAAAAGCTTAATCAGTCATTTATTTGACAGTAACAACTTCTCTTCTACTCTGTTCTGAAAAGTTAAAGTCTAACTTATTTTTATCGTTTTATACATTATTAAATGATACTAAATCTGAATATTTTTAATACGATTATTACAATTTCAAATGATCTATTATAACATTTCAACATATTAGAATATATAATTTGTTTAGAATTTATAAGTTTTTTAATTTAACTACAATTAAATCTAAGTTTTTGAGTAATAAAAAGAAAGTAAAACTATATAAAAAAAAGAGAAAAGCATATTATTCATCGGTAAATACACCGTAAATATACAATCAAAAAAAAGCTTTTACTTGACAAAAGCAGGACGAAATGAAAACAAATAGTTTTTGAACAAAAATACAACATTTGTTCGTTTTGCTTTTTTAATATAGGAAAAAAAAGAAATGAAATGCATAGCATAATGAAGAAATTTTTTTGAGTTGCTTGATCAGTTCAATGTAGAAAACAAAAATGAACATTATTCTATTCTTCATAATCTTTAGTTGGATCTCTATATTCTAACTGAACTTCGTATTCAAAAATTCGTTCTTGTCCACTTTCTTGTAATTCATCATCTTCATCAATTTTAAAACCTTCGGAAAGAATTTTAATTTTAGATGAATTATCACCTTTGGGCACAACAGTAAATTTAACAGCCGAAATAATTTCCTTGTATTCATATTTCACTGATTTTTGTTTGGAATTTTTTAATGTTAATTTTACACTATACGTAGCACTATCTCGTTTTTGACTTAATACTTTAACTTCACGATTATAACTCACCTAAAAAAAGTGAAAAAAAACATGTACAAATTTTCACAAAAATGGAACATAGAACAATGCGTCGATGACTTCAGAGTAAAGAAAACAAATCTAAACTTGCTTAAAAATAATGGTTTTACCTCTTTATTCTAGAACTTTATAAATAATACATAATACTTACATCAGGATCATTTCCACAATCTAAGTCTTGTTTATCACCTTGTGTCATATCTGGTACTTGTGCTTGACCAACAACTCGACCATCTTCTCTCACTGTCACAGTACCTTTTGGTAAAAATTTATCACTTTCAACACGATATTTTCGTTGAAATTTTCCTTTTTGAGTACGTTCTACAAAATGCAATTCTAATCCAGCATATTTTGTTAACGTTATATTAGCTAAAATAGAGAAGAAAAAACAGTAACGTCTCAACTGCGACACAAAGTATATTCTCAACTGAGATACAATTTTGACATGTGCGTTGAAACGCACTATTGTGTAAGAGAGCTGTGTACTAAGGTCTGTTATTCAATAGTTATATAAGTATGAAACAGTGATAAGACATATTTCAAAAAGAAATGGCTTTTGTTCGAAAGATCATAGAGGCGCTCGCCCTTTCATATTGTTTCAAGAAATTCTTTTTCGCCACCAACGTACGAATAAATATGGAAGTGAAAGATGGATTTATACAGTTAATGATTGTTCTTGTTCAGTTGTATTAAAAAAAAGATAAAATAACGTGTTAAGTAGTATCCATGGACATGAAAATACACAGCATTTGACCATGTAATGTGCCGATAATTCTCCAGATAGTTAATAGAGATACATTATATACCTAATTTCATTTCATTCACTAATGAATAATAGACCTTAGTACACTGTACTCTTGCATAATAGCACGTTTCAACGCACGTGTCAAAATCGCATCTCAGTTGAAAAACGAAGATTTTCACAGAAATATTGGTTTCACAACTGAGATATTCTCAAGTGAGATACTTGATTTAAAAAAAAACGACTGATTTATTACATTATACAGTGTCATTAATTAATTACATAATGTACTCTTTATTTACCTTCAACAAATGGCAATGAAAATGTGCTTTGAGATACCAAAACAAATGGTTGATCAATTGAATACCAATAAAGTCCAGCAAGTTCACCTTCCGATTGAATTTGTGGCGCTGCTCCACCAGCACAATCACAACAACAACAACATTTAGCCATTCTTAAATGACTACCAAAATGACGTGGTTGTGGAGCATTTAATCTCACATCACCACCAAATAATTCAGTATGTTTTATTTTATAATCACGTTTTGTTGAATTTGTCATATCAGCCCAAGCTTCAAATATATGTTGCTCCTTTGTCACCTTTAAATTATAACGAGGTGTCCACGTTATGCCTAAATAAAGAAGATAATCACATTTAATTTACTAGCATTCTACTTTTAATAATAATAATATAAATACCATGAATCAAATAGGATAATGTTGCATCTCCAGTATTATTTAATGCAAATGTCACTTCTGTACCTTCTTCTTCAGGAATTGTAACGTATTCTAAAATAAAATGATTAATTTATTATTTTAAATATAAAATTTTATAATATTTGTATAAATTATACCTAATTCATGTTGTTGTGCTTTTAAATATCGATTTGTTTTAACATCTTTTAAAAGTAGATCATTTGGACGAATGACTTGACATTCAATAGGTTCTTCTCTTGGTCGACGAATAAACACTGTTTGACCTTCTAAATTGTTGGCTTTTGTTACCGCATTTTGTGTTAATACTTGAATGCCTTCAACACTGAGACTACCCGTAACTATCTGATCATAAACTTCACGAGGAAAATACATTTTAAAATTCTAGACAACAAAACAAAAAGAGAAGAATAAATAAGTAGAAGATGAAAATAACTTAGATAATTTACCTGTGGTGTACTAAATTTTTCTCTAATTTCTGTAAATGATGGATATATTCTTAATTCTGTAAAACTTGGAAAAATTTTGTCTTTACTTTCAGTCGTCATAATTTTTCTATTTAATAAATGAAATCACGAAAAAGAAATGAGTTTTAATAAATTATAATTCTAAAATGTAACGAAGAACATTTCAAGGATAATTAAAATTGTCAATTTTCAATGAAACTTGTGCGAAATGCGAGATCATTTAACTAATCATATACAAGATAAAATAAAAAAAAGCTAAAAATGACAGGAAAAATCAAGAGTTTATGGCATCCATAACCAAATACGATACGAAAAAACAAAAAAATTTTATGTTGCTCTTTAAATTTGTGTTCTATATTTTAAAAATAATATGTATTAAAAATAAAATACACGTGTTCGAATTATTACTCATCGATTTTAATTTAGTTTTCAAGTCGCGAAAACTATAGGACAATGCTTACTTAAGAAATTCCTGTTTATAGAATATGTTTGAAGAATGCAATCTATCAAATAAAAGTTAGTGATAAAATTAGCTGTGCCATATTTCTCATTATATATACAAAAAGAGAGAGAGAAGGTATGATGATTAATCTAACTAGTTTAATGAAACGTTATTTTCTTGTTGTTTCATGTTACGATCGACTAAATAGAACACATAGAGCGTGTAGAAAGTAAAACACATACATATCATACTTTGTGATTCTAATTACGTTGATGAAAAGAAAGTACAATTAGTAATATAGAGAATCACCCAATCACGAATATTTCGTCATAATTTCTTCTATTATTTCTTTAACACTAGAACGTCCGTAGCGGTCATTTTGACCGTTTTGTGATTTTTATCCTTAATAAAACAAACTGCATACAATTTATTTAAAAATAAATGTCATCACTTTTAATTTGTTTCACAAAAATTATTTTTTGCAGAATTTTTAATTCATTTTTGAATTCAGAACCATTTTTAAGTATAAAATTTTAAAAAAAAACCAGTAACGATCAAAATGACCGTGTTGGGCGTTCTAGGTCATGAAAATTTCCGGGCGTTCTAGTGTTAATTCTGATCGAAAGCGAACTAGTTGGTAGATATTAGTGTTATCTATGCAATTTGTGCAAAAAAATTTCAGAAACTCATCAGTATTAATAAATTCTGACTAATCTTCTTGTAAGTATTTTTGGATTGATCATAATTACTAGTAATTGTAAATGTGAAATGCTACTTTTTTTTCACTCAAAATTGAGCCACCTCTAGCAGAAATATGACGAAATTTTTGCGTTTTTTAACCATAATTATCCTAGGCTACTCAGAAGTCAATATTTTTGCAGTAGTTCAATATCTCTGATTATTCAAATGATATTAAGAGTTGAAAAAGATTACTACTCTAACGAGGGAACATCTTTGAGTGTGGGAATAAGTTAAAAAATATGCTATCTTGTGGAGAATTTTGCGCTAATCGCGAATATTAATATCTTAGCTGCCCTCGTTACAATCTGAAAAAAAAATCGAAATTTTACTTCAGATACTCTCCACTACTAGACGTATTTCTTAGCAGCAGGAAAAAATAGAAAAGATTCAAAATATGTATACACTCACCACTTGGGTATCTACTATCGATGTCATACGACTATAGAACAGAAAGATCAATCAGTTTTTCATATCGAATCGTCATTTTTTTCTCATTTTAACAAAAAGAATCGGTCTAAAAAACGTGATGTATAGCAGTAGAGAGTATCCAAAGTGGAAAAACGTGAAATTTCAATTTTTTTTTCAGATTGTAACGAGAATAGCTAAGATATTGATATTCGTGATTGGCGAAAAATTTTCTACAAGATAGTATGGTTTTAAGGTTTTTTTATTTAAAGAGATCAATAAGAACAAGAAAAGAAGACCAATCAAGTGAAATCGATGTCCTGAGGACTACATTATATCTCCTGAGACGAATCTTTAAACAGAACAAAAAGAATACCATCATGAAATTAAAAAAACAAACAAACATTAAAAATTAGAGAAAGAAGAGAAAATTAAAATGAGAGCAATAAAAATAGATGCAGGAAACTGTGCCAGTAGGAGTAAAGCACCTGATGTTGGCGTTTTAGAAACGAGGGAGTGAATCAGTTAAAATCTATGAAAGTAAAAAAGTAGAGGACATAGTCTATTAGAAACGTTTACTGGCAGTGATAAAATCACTCACAGACTGATACACAGATATCAACCGATTGCGGGATTAATGTGTTCTAAGTAGAAGGGTATCAATATCAAGACTAAGATCTAGATTACCTAGCTTGAGGGTCCCCCTCTTTTTTGACCCTCTTGAAAACCGGGGACGCCGATGTCGGATCGGGGTGAAATTTATAACAGAGATAGAACATCGAAAAAGAAAATCGACGTATTTTTGCATAGAATTTTGTGACGTGTTCTTCTAAGGGTTTTCTAGAAAACTATGGTTTTCATCCAGTCACATTACGACCCTCGAAAAAATGGTCCGATCGAGGTCAAAATTTTACCACAGATACTTCAAACCCTATCCTAGAAAACCTGTAAAAAATTGAGTTTTTTTGCGTGACTTCCAGCATTTTTGGGATATCTCGAGAAGGAAAGCATATTTTTTGAAAAGAAAAAAAACGAACCTGAGATAGGGCCTAAAGTATCTGTGGGTAAAAATTTGAGCTCGATCGGACCATTTTTTCGAGGGGTCGTAATGTTACTGGATGAAAACCAGAGTTTTCTAGAAAACCCATAGAAGAACACGTCAGAAAATTCTGAGCAAAAATACATCGATTTTCTTTTTCGATGTTCTATCTCTGCTATAAATTTGAGCTCAATCGGACATGTACTCCGCATTTGGCAACAAGGTGAAAAAAGAGGGGGAGGGGTACCCTTAATAGCCAGAACTGCTCGAGCTCGATCATACTTTGAACATTCTAAGAAATAGTGTTTGGGATTTTCAACAACCTTTATTGATGGAGATAAAGAGAAACAGCTTTTGCAGAAATTTTTAGAAACGAGTTTATGTTGTTTAAGATGGAAATTAAGTGCGGAGAAATCCACTCTTAAGCGGCAAAATAGTGCATCAGTTCGGTGATGTAACACGCATGGTAATTCGTTGGTAGGTGGAAGTACAATGTTTTTTAACTCTTTCCGAAATGTCTCAGGCTTTTGTCTAACGCTTAGTTGAGGATGTGTTGAGATGAGATCTGACCATTCTTTAAGAGCAGTCGGGAAAAAGAACAACTGAAAAAATAAACGTTTACCTGAATAATCATATAATTTAGGTACCCTATCTCGTTTTAAGCTGTACTTTATTTTCTTAATCTCTTCATATCTAACATGCTGAGCACTTAATCTAACTAAACCCAAAATAATCTTATAAATCATGCATATTCTGTTAACATAGAATAGCTGAAAGAACGAGAGTCAATGTTGATCCTTGAACAACTTATCTTTAGAAGTATCTCTCATAGCACCACTAACAGATAGTATATTTTTAACTTGTTCTCAGTGGGAACGACTAGATATGGATACTGGGACCAGAAAAAGTTTTTGGTCCCGATGCCCATCTCTAGGGACGACACTCAAAGATGTTCCCTCGTAAGATAGATTTTAATCAATATTTTCATTCTATTTTGTACAAATTTGTATAAACAACTAATTGAAAGTTTCACATGGGGTAAAAATTAGTTTGTTATCAATAAATGACCGCCAATGCACTACTAATTCATAATTCAAGAAAAATTATCTTTGTATAAACAATGAATGAATCTCTATTTACCCACATTATTAAGTACAAAAACTTGTGTTTTTTCTATTAAATCAGCCAGGAAAACTATTAGACGTACACGAATTGAATGCAAAACAAGCGAGTTTATTGCTGATCATAAATGCATTTTTTATGCTATTGAATATTCTAACATTATGTTCTCTTCTTTTTTTTTTTCTTACACTACTGACGTACTGTTCTCGTACGAAAAACACATAAGCTGTCATTTTTTTTCTCGGTTTTTTTCTATTTCTTTTCTCTTTATTGTTGTTTCTTGCCTCGTTTATTTCTTATTTGCATATATACAGAGATATATATTTATGATAAATGCATGTGAGTTACTAACTCAGCTGATACTTTTCAATATCGACCATGATAAAAATAAAAACACTTTTTGTATAGATAAGGAAAAAAGTTATGCAAATACTATAAAATAAAAGTGATATGAACTTTTAATTTATTGTACAATTATATATCTGATGGGGTCTTGCTATTCTAATATATCATTCATTACTATACCGTTGTTCGCTCAAATTTTGGCGAAAACTAGCACCATTTACCCATACAGAATAGACGATTCGTTTCTATCTGAAAGAATAATGGTTACTTTTAGCTATTACTTTAAATGTCGGACAGTTATGGATGAATCTATTTTTATTCGAATTGCAAATATAAAAACTTTAGTGCAATTGCGACTGAAACATCCTTAACTTGATTCAACATAATTAAGAGTTTATTAAGAATCAATAGAAAAATTATTAAAACACGAATTTTCGATCTATTTATACGGTCATTATCAAATGAATAGACTGAAAAAAATAAAAAATTCTTAATAAACTCTTAATTATGTTAAACCAAATTAAGGATATTTCAGTCACAATTGTACTAAAGTTTTTATTTCTATTGTTACCCTTTAATAGTAACAATGTTATTGTTCAAATAGAATAATTGAAAATTTTTTGTGTATTTTTGTTTTTTTTTGTCTAAAATAGAAAGGCAAAAACTATTAGATAATCAACATTAATTAAATGGACAATTGTCTCTGTTTTCAATAAAAAAAGAACGAAAAAGAAATATTATTTTATCGATTTTATGATGAAATAGATTGTTGAACGTTTATGTTAATCTACATTTTCTATGTAGGTGAACATTTCTTAATCGAGTAAGTATAAAATAAGTGA